ATTAAAACAAGGTCGCCTTGACTATATTCTTATTTCAGAAAGTCTTTCAAATTTGGTTGAAAACTTTGATATTAAACCTGGTTACAGGTCTGACCATTCTTCAGTTATAATGGAATTAAAATTTAATTCTTTTGAAAGAGGGCGAGGTCTATGGAAATTCAATAACAGCTTATTAACAGATAAAACATATGTTGGAAAAGTAAAAGAAACTATAGAAAAGGTAGTTGCCCAATATTTACATGTTCCAAATAATGACGGTAATCAATGTAATGTTCAAATTGACGACAGTCTGTTTTTTGAAGTTCTTTTGATGGAAATTCGAGGGGTTACTATTTCTTATTCATCTTTCAGAAAAAAAGAAAGACAAAATTCAGAAAAATTATTACTAGAGGAAATTGAACATTTAGAAACAATGACAGAAATTAATTTTGAACTTTTAGAAGAAAAAAAGCTGAGTCTTGAAAATTTGAGAAAAGAAAAATTGCAGGGGCATATCATAAGATCACGAGCTCGATGGATTGAAGAAGGGGAAAAACCGACAAAGTATTTTTGTAATTTAGAAGCCAGGAATTTTTTAAATAAAACTATTAAAAAGGTAGAAGTAGAGAGTGAGGGTACAATATATAATCAGGCAGAGATCTTAAATCATGTGAAATTATTCTATAAGAATTTATATACAAGTTCAGATTCTGAGCTCTTAGATATTAATTTAGAAGAAATTATTCAAGGACAAGATGTCCCAAAGTTAGATAAGCATGCATCTGAGAAACTTGAGTGTGATATTAATGAAAAGGAAGTAGCAGAAGTGCTTAAAAATATGAAAAATAACAAATCTCCAGGTAGTGATGGTTACACGGTTGAATTTTTTAAATTCTTTTGGAATGATTTAAAGGCTTATTTACTTAAGGCAATTAAATGTATTTTTATCAATAACGAGCTCCCAATATCACAAAGATTAGGTATAATTTCATGTATTCCAAAAGGTGATAAACCTAGACAGTTTCTAAAAAATTGGCGCCCAATAACACTTCTAAATGTTTTATATAAAATAATATCAGGATGTCTCGCACAAAGAATTAAAACAACATTAGATTATTTAATATCAGATACTCAATCAGGATTTATGAAAGGGAGGTATATAGGTGAAAATACAAGATTCATGTATGACTTAATCCACTACACAGATTCCAAAAGCATCCCAGGTCTATTAGTTTTGATTGACTTCGAAAAAGCCTTTGATTCAATTTCATGGACATTTACATATAAAGTTTTGAAGTATTTTGGTTTTGGTTCAAAGATTATAAATTGGGTCAAGATTCTAAATTTTAATTTTAAAGCTTCTATTTTACAAAGTGGATTTTTATCTGATCAGTTTGATATACAAAGAGGTTGCAGACAAGGTGACCCTGTTTCTCCATATTTATTTATTCTATGTGCAGAAATTCTGGCAATTCTAATTAAACAGAATAAGGACATTAAAGGTATTGTGGTAGATAATAAAGAACATAAATTATCTCAGTATGCTGATGACACTTTTCTTGCTTTAGATGGTTCACAAAAATCCCTTTTTGCTGCTCTTGATACCATTGATTTTTATTCAAAACTTTCAGGATTGAAAATTAACATATCAAAAACTAAAATAGTGTGGATTGGATCAAAAAAGTATTCAAAAGAAGTTTTCCATCACACAAGGTGGAAACTAGAATGGGGAACTACAACTTTCAACTTACTAGGAATTCAGTTCTCAGTTCACCTTAAAGAAACTGTTGATATTAATTATGACTTACAACTACCTAAAATAAGAGCTTTGATTAAACAATGGAAGCGAAGAATCCTAACTCCAATTGGTCGCATAACCGTTGTTAAGACGCTTATCCTACCTAAGCTTAATCATTTATTTATTTCTTTGCCATCTCCTAGAAAACAGCTTTTAGTTGATTTGCAAAAAGATATTTTTGAATTTATATGGAAGTCCAAATCGGATAAGATAAAGCGATCCCTTGTCACACAAGACTATCTTTCTGGAGGTTTAAAAATGGTCAACTTAGACAATTTTATAATTGCTTTAAAATCTTCTTGGATGAAAAGGTTAACTCAAAAACAAAAGCCATGGATGGATTTCTTTTTTGCATTAAATGGAAAAGATGTTATTGAGAAGTTATTTCATTTTGGGGATCTGTTTATTTCAGAGCATTTACTTCCTAAAAACAATTTTTTCTGGCAAGATGTATTAAAATCATGGCTGGAAGTCATGAAGTGTTTAAATAATTGTAAACATGTAAAAAGTAATTTTTTAAATATCCCGGTGTGGTATAATTCTAATATCTTGGTTGGCAAACGGTCTGTTTTTATCAAAAATTGGTATGAGAAGGGTATCAGAGTAATAGGAGATTTTTTAGATAGCGAAGGAAAATTTTTATGCTTTGATTCTTTACAAAAAAGATTTTGCCTCTCACAAACGGATACAAATAAGCAGATTATGCAATATAATAGTGTTCTTACTGCAGTATCAAAATATTTGAAATGTATGTCTATTGACAACCACTTATTCACAAAATCTTACAATACACTTATGCCCTTTTATTATGAATTGTTGTTACAGTCAGAAAAATGCACTAAGCCAATTTACTCCATATTAAACACAAATAATGTTAAACCTACATCTATATCAAAATGGATTTCCATTTTGAGTATCTATGGGCAGTGTAATTTTGAAATACATGATGTTTTTAAAGTTTGTTTTAAAGTAACAAGTGATACAGCTGTTCAATGGCTGCAGTTTAGAATACTGCATAGGATTCTTCCTGTAGGTTACTATCTTAAAAAGATTAATATCAAAACTACTGATTTGTGTACCTTTTGTAAGAATGAAAGTGAAACAATCCAACATGTATTTTTATTTTGTAATAATATTTTGGCATTGTGGAGTAGTCTTAGCCAACATATATATAGAGCTACTTCAAAAAGGGTCGGATTTAACATTAATAATGTTATATTAGGAGAGATTCCTTTGTCAGAAAATAATAGAGCTGTGAATTTTATTATATTATACACTAAACAATATATCTTTACTTGTTTGATGCAGAAGAAAATGCCAAATCTCAGTGCACTCTTATGTCATCTAAGAATCAAATATAATGTTGAAAAATTTGTTTCAATCCAAAAGAATAAAATTGTGTATTTTAATTCTATATGGTCTACATGGAAACATGTTTTTGAGGAGTGACAGTTCAGATGGCATTCACTATTGTTACTGTCTTTTCTTTTCTTTTTTATCCGCATATTGATAAAAGAATATATGTATAATTCAGATAATTTATGCACAGTGTTATAAGGTGTTGGAGGAAATAGTGACGAATTGAATTTACATTTATTATCTTTTTTTTTATCTCTCTTTTTTAATATTATCTATAGATGGATAGTGGATAGTGTGAAAGGGTGAGTGTGTTTGTGTGTAAGGCATAAATGTAAATATGTTCATCTATCTCTTTGTTTATTATGAGAAAAAATATAAATAAAAAAAAAAAAAAAAAAAAAAAATATTCTAAGTTAAGAGTTCAATATTTTTCCAGATGAAAAATAGACTAAGTCCAATTCTCCGTATTATTTCATTTATTTTCCGGATTATTTCCGTATATTTTCTGCTTTTTCGTATTGTTAATTTTCTCCGTATTTTTTTCCACATTTTTTCCATATTAAAATGAGGAAAAAATGCGGAATAATGCGGAAATCTGGAGATCTGAGGTGCGGGTAGGGGGGGCTTTGACTAAAATCAGGGGACGCTTTGACCAATATTTGGGGGCGGTATTTTTTCTCTAAAAATATGCTAGGGGGCGCTTTGACCAAAATCAGGGGGCGCTTTAACTAAAATCAGGGGACCCTTTGACCAATATTTGGGGGCGGAATTTTTTCTATAAAAACATGTTGGGGGCGCTTTGACGAAAACAATATTTGGGGGCGGTATTTTTTCTCTAAAAATATGTTAGGGGGGCGCTTTGACCAAAACTAGGGGGCGCTTTGACTAAAATCAGGGGACGCTTTGACCAATATTTGGGGGCGGTATTTTTTCTCTAAAAATATGTTAGGGGGCGCTTTGACCAAAATCAGGGGGCGCTTTGACTAAAATCAGGGGACGCTTTGACTAAAATTAGGGAACGCTTTGACCGGGACGTATTTATTAGGGGGCGCTTTGACTGGCTCCCGTTCAGACCATCAGGTGTATAGTTATTTCGAACACTGATTATTATAACTCCTAAAACAGGCAAGGCGTCTCACTAAATAAGTGGATGGATATATGATTTTGTGAGAAATTTGCTACAACAACATAAACGTTTCAATTTCATATAAGTGGGCTATATTAAATTTCAAGCAAGGAACACGATGCATGAAAATACATAGAATTGCATGTTTGTTTAACATAATGTGATCTAAGTAATAAATTTTTACGCTGGTGTATATCTATTGCAAGTGAACTGCATGATAAATAGATTCCAATATTGAATATTATTTCAATGAGATCAGCAAGAATATCCGTGTCCATTTGAGTGAGAAATTATCTTGATAGACTGATACTATAACAATAACTGACTAAAATTGCACTGCATCATTTACTTTAAATGCTATTCTTGTGTTTTACCTGCCTTTTTCTCTTTCTTAAGTTCTCAAACGTTCGTGTTCACTCCGAATTTCATTGTTTTCTTTTCAGATTTGTCAACATGAACATGATGGCAGATCAGTCACTGACGTCAGGTAAGTCATGTGATGTATCACGCGGGATCCATTTCCGGTGTACAAGAACGCCGTTGCGAAGGACGCGCCAACAGGTGCTTGTTACAACTTCTTTTGTCAATATAAATAAACCATCAAACCCCTCTACACTTCTTATTATATATAAACACACATGTTTATTTTGGAAATTACTACACGTCAAAGCTGTGAAACTCCTCCTTAAAAATCAATTACCTTTACGGAATTCTTTACATTAGACTTTTGAATTTACTTGCGTTGCATAAACATCCGATATCTTTTGCAATCAACATTAGACTGGTCAGAGAATATTGAAGACAGTGCAGGATCAGGTTAGATTTAATATATTCATCTAGGTGCTTAAATCATTTCAACCCAAACATGAAAACTTTATAGAATAGAATAGAATAGAATTTATTACCAATCAGGGCCCATTAGGCATAAACATATAACATATATAATTACATATAAACATAATATTAAAGTAATAGACAGAATACAACATGTGGTGAAGAGCAATTCTTCTATTAAGTATATATGTATATACTGATATATATGTTGGTGGCAATTTAAGTTTCATATACAGACATACATGATGGTTTGTTGTACAAAAAAAGTGTGCATAAGTATTATTCATGATATACATATATATGTAAATATATACATATCAAAATGCATAAAACTATGTTTGAAACATCAACAGGAGGCAGCAAGAGTCGGTGCTAAAGGATATACAGAATTCCACTTCTGCCTCATGTAGAATAAACAGACATAAAATATTTATATTCCTCTCCCCATATTAAGCTTACGTACATCACAATGACTGAATGAGTCTATTAAATAAAATAAATTCATGTACAGCAATCAGGAAGTTAGGAGACTGATGATGGTCTTTCCTCTCACAGAAGAGAACTCATACACTGTACAACTTTGCTTAAAGTACACAGTCCCCATAAAGGGAATGTACTCTGACACTGGTTTGTTTTTGTGATAGATTTAACACACCAGATTCAAGGTGTTTTTAATTGAAATTGTCTATTGTTCTTGCTGATGTGTGTACTTGTTTACTCAATCCTCTTTATGCTGGTCAGCATATAAGGTGATCACCTCTATGTTGGTCTAACTCATGTCCATCTCTGGATCTGCCCAGCTCCCATGATCATCGTCACCATGCATGACCTGTTATTTTTATTTTTGCTCCTTCAGTCTTTACCAGCTAGGTCTCTTTCTGGTCTTCCTCTTTTTCTCTTACCCATTGGTGTTCATCTTTTAAATGCAACCCTTTGGATGTAGGTTGAGTGCATTCTACTTATGCGCCCTATACACAGCCATTTTCTCTTCTTTATAACTTGGAATAAAGAACTCCATGGTGTTAGTCCTTTTGTACAGTTCTTCATTTGAGATATGGTATTCAGCCAAAAAATGTGTAAATTATCGATAATATTCTGTCAAGTCAATGAGTCTGGCAGGCATTTGGCTTGTGTTACTTTCAATGATTCAGCACCATACAGGAGGGCCCAAGCACATTACTCTTGAAAATCCTAATTTAGGGAATAACCTTCTAACAATTTGGTATTTGCAACCATTTATGATTTAATGCTGATCTGATGGTCACATGCAAATAATGTTTTACTGGCAACTTGTAAGTGGAGCCACTAAAGGGGATGTTTGCTACTGTTAAATCAGCATTAAATCAAACCAAATCAAAAGAAAGTTATTGTTATTCCCAAGCAATTTATTCATTTTGTTTGATGTTTACATTACATCTTGAATTTTGCTAAGTTTTGTTAAATATTTACATTTGCTGATGTCTCAAAATTTCCTTATATAACAATGAAAATAAAATTGAAATTCAATTTTCAATGACATGCAGTTGGTTACATGATCAGATTTTCTTGCATATGGAAAGCAAACTGCACATTTGGAAAGTTCAGATTGTGACGTCACATAATGTTATACATATGTTATGTTGCATTTCCATAACAAAGTCTTAATAGTGCCTATTTTTCCTTGTCACATGAATAAAAATTGAAAATATAAATATAAGAAATAAAATACAATATTTTAGAGTTTCATTGGGATAAGACATGAAGTCGGTACGTGATCAAATATACTATAACGCCCAAATTTGATCATGTGACCGACTTCATGTCATATCCCAATGAAACTCTAAAAATGATATCTTATTTCTTAAATGAAATACATCACCAAGTGTTGGGTTTTTGCGTAATGCTCTATTGTGACATCACAATAAAAAGCTTTCACTCTCATTATTGATCATTTTACTGCCTCAAACACCAGTGCATTGACAAAATGGTTGCATTAGAATATGGTATTTATGCTGATCTTTGTTGACCTTCTGATATTTCACTGTGCAACATACACTCCTATGGCTCTAGAAATCCAAGCTAGTTCATTTACCTCAAAATTCCCATCAATCTGTAGTGATTTTGCTTTCTAGGTAGACAAACTCTGTGACATCTATTTTTATATCGTTTAGGGTGATGGTTTCATCTGTTCTTCATGATCTTAGTCTTGATGTTGTTAATAGTCAGACCATTCTTTCTTGCTGTTTTTGCTAGCTGCATGGTTGTTTTTTTTCTTATCGCATTTCATATCACAAAGTCTGTTACCTAGCAGTGCTGTATCATTTGCAAAATTTAGGTCTTCAAGCATTTCTGACATGGTCAAACTAATTTCTGTTCACTTATTCTTGGTGGTTTCTTTCTTACATAGTCCAGTCAATTGCTTATGTCATTGCTGTACGAATAAAAAAAAAGGGGGAGGGGTTGAAGATAAACAAAGTAGAGGGAATTTGAGTCAGGTGAGCATTGTGACCCATAGGCTCCTGATTTTCCATTATTCTTCATCTGAAAGCTTATTACTTAAAAAAGAGGATTTTATAGCTCACAAGACTGTGCACACTGTACATAACGTGGGTTGGGATAGATCGTGCTTTACACACTGCAGAGTCATTTTAATGTTGTTTTAATGTGTCTGAAAAGATGGAGATATATATAAATTCAGAGAGCCAAGTACAGGTTCTTCACAAAATACTGAAAAGCCTATCTTTTCATCGTGCTGGTTTTACAAATTATATTTTAAGGTAATGGTTAAAGTAAGTAATTTATTTAAAAATCATCAGAGGGGAAACATATTCTTTCACTGACATAGAGGGGACTAAAGTAGGTATGGGTGAACAAATACAAAAATGCAAATCAGTACAGAGGTTAATATCTCATCATATTATATTTGCACAAAGAAATGTGAAATTTCTGTTTTCAATATTGAATTTTTAAAACCAAACCCATTAAACCTGAAACCTTATCCCATCATAGATTTACTACTGAAGTATAGAGATACCTTTATACACCACACCTTCAGATGTAAATAAATTAAAGGTTTTATTTGCAGGTAAATTAACTAAAGTTTCTAGTATAATTTTTTATGTGCCTGGATCGAAAGATCCGAGGCATATATTGTTTTTGTCCTGTCTGTTTGTCTGCAAAATTTAACCTTCGCCATAACTTTTGAACCATGAATGAAAGAGACTTCAATTTTTGGTATGCCTACTCCACTAATAAAGCTCTTTCAATTGACAGCAAGGTCAATGACCTTGTGACCTTGACTGTGACCTACATGCTAAAAATAGGGGTTTTTTGCAAACTCTAACCTTTGCCATACACTGTAACTTTTGAACCATAAAAGATAGAGACTTTATATTTGGTATACATACAACACTTATTAAGCTTTTTAAAAAGACACCATGGTCAATGACCTTGTGACCTTGACTGTGACCTATATGCTAAATATAGCTTTTTTGATGGCAAACTTTAACCTTCGCCATAACTTTTGAACAAAGAAAGATAGAGACTTAATATTTTGCATCCATACTCCACTAATGAAGCCCTTTCACATTTCACCAAGGTCAATGACCTTGTGACCTTGACTGTGTCTTATATACAAAAAATAGCTTTTTTTAACCTTCACCATAACTTTTGAACCATGAAAGATAGAGACTTCATATTTGGTATGCATACTTCACTAATCAAGATCTTTCAAATGACACCAAAATCAATGACTTTGTGACCTTGACTGTGACATTTATGCTAAAAATATGTTTTTTGAATTTGTTGCTGCCGGGCGCATAGTGTTTCACAAACACATCTTGTTTGTCATAATATACTTACATAGAGATTATTTATAGGCTGTGAACCTGCTGTTCAATCCCTCTCATTTTTGAATGTAATTAAATTTAAAATTAAGTATAGACTTGACTAAAAATTTGTCCCAATTTTTTTTTCTTGCCATATATTTCACACACTCCTCAGAGACAATCATAAAATGGTAGGTTTCAATTTTTGCTGTTTTATTTATATTTTATTTTGTTGTATGAAAAATATAAGATTGGTTGACTTAATTTACTTATAACCCTCCTGAGGTATTCTTATTGATCTGTTTGCCCTGTCTTGTCAGTTTCAATGCTGGTTTCACCACACTGCATAAGTTCATGCATGCAGGTTCCAGTTACCTAATCGGTAACTATATATAGTGTATTTCATACAGGTACTTTAAGATAATTGCTAAATTAACTCACTACTAATTGAGCAGTAGCAAGTCATCCATTATTAAATGAAACTTACAGACTTAAGGGTGTAATGTTTTACAGAATGTAACTTTTAATTAAGCATAAAATATCAAGCCAGGAGAATTTAAATCATTTGTACAAACAGCTTACACTGTGTATAGTAACTGTATAGTTGAGTGGTCTTATTTGAGATAGGTCATGTACTGATATGTTTGGAAGTGGTAATTTTTTACTGAGAAAACTTAATCAATTGATGGTTCCAATACACAATATTCATTAGGAATTACCAGTCCAGAGTATTGTATGTATAGATTTTTTTTGCATGTTATATCATTATTTGTATCTATCCTGTGTTCAAAAAGTTTGTGTCTTGTATATGTTAAAACTTGATATATATACATAAAGTGTCAAGAAAATGTTTAGGAAAGGCTTAAAAATTGGTTAAGAGGACATTAATGTGATGCAAATAATAATACCAAGTTCATGCAATGGTAAAGCATTAGGCATGAACTTGAGAACTCTTCTGATCAAGTACATGTACCGTACTATTTAAAAATCAGGATTTAAATATTTAACTCATATTAAATAAAATCAAGCTATAAAATGTGTTGCATTTAAAGTTGAGGTAAACAAAATTAAGGAGTCAGAAGAATCATATGTTCTGGTACTGTTGGTAGTTTGAGAAAATTGACATTATAATTACATGGACATCAGTGGGTTTGTTGTTTTATATTTAAGATGATGTATGTATAACAATCTCATATGAAGATCCAGGATTTTGCATTTAAAGGGGTGTTCTATATCGGGCAAGGAGTTTGGGTTATAATGGTCACGACCCCTCAAGGACCATACAGTTTGGGGCCTAGGGGCAATGCCCCTTGAATTAACTCCTAGAATTTTGTGGCAATTTTACATACAGATTTTGACTGTATATATATTTACTTTTATTATTATTTGTATTCTAGTAAAAACTGCATATATACGTATTAACAATATCAACAACTTTGTTCAGTTTTAGAGTGGTAAACCCAAGAAGTGTCCCTAACTGATTCAAAGACTAAATCTATGTACAGTGTACTTATAATTCATCCAATCAATTCCTGTTTCAATGTGACAACAAATAAAAGTATACAATAAAATAAAATGTTTCATGTCTCAGGACTACGTTGCTAAGTGATAGTAAATAGAGAGGAAATGTAAAGACACATGATATATATCCTGAACTGAAGTGTCCTTATAATGCTAAATAATTCAAGGTTGTTTGCAGCTCATAAAAATTAGATAAAAAAATTGCAGAACAACCATCAAAGTCTCCTAAGTAAAATGCAGGTAAAATTACTGGTATTGTTATCAAAATTTTACGAAAAGAAATGAAGCAAAAGTTTATTTATCCTGAACTTGGGATTCATTCAATTACGTATTACCTTTTTCCTGCATATTGATTTTGGTGTTGCTTTCAGAATACTTTTTTTCAAAGAAGAAAATGAACACCCATATAATACATGTACTAATAATTTGAATGTTGATTTTTGTTAGAGGAGTGAGAATGTCCACTGAAGCTGCCTTGAAGGATCTTCGTAAAGAAATACTGACAAAGAACCTACCAGACCTTTTGGATCGTAAATTCTTAAAAATACCTGAAAATGGGGAAGGGGACATCACTGTGATGCAGTGGAACATATTGGCCCAAGGCTAGTGTCAATATCTGTTCTTCAGTTATTATTATTCACCTGATTTTTCTCTAAGTGTTTTAAAGGTATAATTGATATCTAAATTTAAAATAAAATGCTCAAGACAAATTAAAATCATAAACTACCGGTAGATATATTACTATTGTAGTTGTAAGACTAAAGCATACTGTCTCTGTTTTTTTTATTGGTTGTTTGTTTGTTTTTACTGATTTTAGTCAAAATTTTCCAGGTTTGAGTGGTGGAAATGATAATTTTATTCTATGTCCACCGGAGGCCCTGTCATGGGAAAATCGACAATTACATATGTTGGAGGAGATCTATCGAGTTGGACCTACCATTCTGTGTATGGAGGAAGTGGACTGCTTTTCATTTCTAGAGGAAAAACTTAAACCACTTGGGTATGAAGGAAAATGGGTACAAAAACCAAACTCCCCATGTTTGGAAATGAAGGGTAATATGGGACCAGATGGCTGTGCTTTATTCTACCACAAAGACAAACTCCAAATGGTTGATACTCAGGCTGTAAATCTCAAGGACAATGGCAAGGCAACCAACCAGACTGCCCTTGTCAGTAAGCTTAAGGTCAAGGACAATGATCACATGTTGTATGTAGCCACTGTCCATCTCAAGGCCAAATCTGGTTATGAAAATCTGAGGCACCAACAGGGAAAATACCTACTAGATCACCTAACCAAAATAGCTGGATCCGAACCAATCATTGTGTGTGGGGACTTCAATGCAAGTCCTAAGGAACCAGTGTACCAGGACTTTAGTAACAGTGACCTGGGGCTAAAAAGTGTGTACAGAGAAGCATCAGCCGAGAAGAAGGAACCCAAGTATACGACCTGGAAGATCCGGGCTGGAAGCAATGGAGAGAATACAGAGAGCTGCAAGACCATAGATTACATCTGGATCAGGGGAAATCTTAAGCTCACTGCCTTCTGGAATATTCCAGATGATGCCACCATTGGCCCAAATCGTTTACCAAGCCACAAGTACCCATCAGACCATTTTGCTCTAGCCTGCAAATTAGTGTTTACTTAATTTTCACAATATTCATATATAAAAATGTTTATCATTTCATTAACAGTCATTATTTTTACACTTTTACATTTATTTATTCAAGTTTTTTGATATTATTGAAGGTTTAGATGATTGTTGATATTTATTATATTATATATTTTTCTTATTACCATGCAACTTTTGACAAAACTTAGACCTTATTAGAAATATATTATCATTATCTAGTTCCTTTCTTGTAGGTAAGGGGGGCTAAAACTTGAAGATATGGTATAACGTAGTTACAAACCATTTATAATCTCAATGTTTTGTTTTTTAATTAATACAGATCTAGAAAATAAGTAAAAGAACTTAATAACACAGTTAATTAGAATAGTATGTTTATTTGTTATCTATAGTACTATTTTATATGAGTAGTTTACATAAGTAATACATTTTTTTAAATTTGTTATTTATTGAGCTGCATTGTTTAATGAGCTTACCCATTTCTTTTCTTTGAATAAAGTTACTTTCCTTTAATTGTTTTGCATTTACTTAATAATTCTACTGATTCATGTGAAAATGATTTGTGAATCCCAAATGATCAAATACAGGTACAAACATATTAGGCTTACATGAACATTTGAACTATTAAGGATTCTTGGTTAGCTAAAGTTAGCATGTATGTGTCTGTACTCCTAAAGTTATATTGGTAAATGTAAAAAATTTGCCTACAAACTCATGTCGCTGGTTTCCTATTCTGTGGAATTTGTGGTGGTCAGTTTTGTGCATTGTATATACCTGGTCACTATTTGGAAAATGCAGGTGAGATGGTGGACATTCCTCCATCCATGCTAGTTTAATCCAGGTAGCCTTACAGTTAGTTGAGAAGAGGCTTGCTCCAAAAACAATAGCCTGGCCACTTATCTTGAAAATACACACCAAAGCAAGTTAATTTCTGTCCTTCCCTAGATACCTCATCCATGTAAGTTAAGTCCACGTACATGTGTAGGACTTATGTAGGAATAGACCTGTTCCAAAAACTAATATTAGTCACTCATCTGGAAATAAAAGCCATATTCAGAATCCATCACTAGATGCCTCATCCTTACAAGTTTGGCCCATGAAAGGCTTATAGTTACTTTGGAATGAAACTGCTCCAAAACCTTTATTGAGGTGAGCTAAAAAGTCTTGATACTTCAGACAAAATTATTGTGAAAATACGGAAATGTGGAATTTAAGTTTTGATCTTCAGTCTTGATAACCTTACAATGCGTTTTGTTGAATGTGAGCACAATTGTGATGGAATGTGAATACAGTTGTGATGGCATTTCATCAACAATTCAAAATTTCTTTGAATTGATTATTCCTGGAGATTTCCCAAAGATGTTGTACTTTATAACACTCACACAGTGTGAGTAGTGTGAGCCACACTGTGTCATTGTAAAGCATTGTCCAAGGTGGCATTCAATTATTTGTACGGTAGAAAGAAAGTTAATTCATACACATATCAGTATATATATATAATTTATTAAATAAAACAAAAAAGATAATATTTTGTGTAATTCAAGAAGATGACTTCTTCATATTCTTCAATATTTCCTAGCCGTAAATAGGTACTGTAGAAGCACATATTTTCGTGGGGATTAAATTTTGTTGATTTGTCATCAAAAACAGTTTCGTTGGCATTTAATTTCGTTGTTTTTAATGTAATCCTATTAAATATATGGTCATATAAAATTTCATGTGGGATTTAATTTCGTTGATAATTGTTAACAATGAAATAAACGAAATTTAATCCCCCACAAATATTTGTGCTTTTACAGTATTCTTGACCTATTAATACATAACACATTACTATAGAAACACAAATTTTCAAGGGGATCAAATTTTGTTGATTTGTTATCTAAAACAGGTTCATGGGCATTAAAATTTCGTTGTCTCGAAAGTAATCCTATTTAATTTATAGTCATATAAAATTTCATATGGGATTTAATTTCGTTGATAATTATTAACAATGAAATAAACAAAATTTAATCCTAACTAGAACTGTCCAAATGGGACAAAATACCCCCCGCTGGGTTTTTCAGAAGTAAGTTTTTCCATAATAAAGATATGTATCAAACACGAATTATGAAATTTTTATTCCAGTGACCTTGAACTTCCCCAAATAACCTTGGGTCAAGGTTATGACACACCCTTGGGTCATGGGCAATCTTTCAGTGAAATGAGAACCTACCAAGTTTATCCATTAGAAAGAAATGGACCGGACTTGAATTATGAAATTTTTATTTCAGTGACCTTGAACTTCCCCAAATAACCTTGGGTCAAGGTCATGACACACTCTTGGGTCATGGGCAATCTTTCAGTGAAATGAGAACCTACCAAGTTTATCCATAAGAAAGATATGGACCGGACTTGAATTATGAAATTTTTCTTCCAGTGACCTTGAAATTCCCCAGATGACCTTGGGTCAAGGTCATGACACACCCTTAGGTCATGGGCAATCTTTGTGTGAAATGAGAACCTACCAAGTTTATCCCTAAGAAAGATATGGACCAGACAGGAATTATGATATTTTTCTTCCAGTGACCTTGAACTTCCCCAAATGACCTTGGGTCAAGGTCATGACACATTCTTGGGTCATGGGCAATCTTTGTGTGAAATGAGAACCTACCAAGTTCATCCATAAGAAAGATATTTATGAAATTTTTCTTCCAATGACCTTGAACTTCCCCAAATGACCTTGGGTCAAGGTCATGACACACCCTTGGGTCATGGGCAATCTTTGTGTGAAATGAGAACCTACCAAGTTTATCTATAAGAAAGATATGGACCGGACACGAATTATGAAATTTTTCTTCCAGTGACCTTGAACTTCCCCAAATGACCTTGGGTCAAGGTCATGACATACCCTTAGGTCATGAGCAATCTTAGTGTGGAGTAGTAGATTCTAATGTCCCTCTGTAAGAAAGATATTGACTGGACACGATTGCACAGACAGACGGATGGACGGACAGACGGACAAGGTGATTCCTATATACCCCCCCCCCAAACTTCGTTTGCGGGGGGTATAATGAGTTTTTCTAATTTTACAGTATTTTATTAAAGAATAAATTTTGATAGGTTACATTTTATAAACAGCAATTAAAGGAGTTAAAAAATTAACTGTTCCAACTGAAATTATATGATTTTTTCCCTCCTATCAAATGGTGTGTTACAATCAGAAATAATTATTCAAAATTCAACTGATTACAATGTCATATATTTTATTTGGCTCAGATTTTAAAAATGTTTCCACAGATGTACCAGTAAAATTTATAATTGAATGTTTAAGGTGTGACTGTTTGGGCAGATTCACACAGCTAAGTTACATTTGAAACTTTGATCTGACTCCTTAAACTTCAAACTACACAAGATCACAGTTTAAACATAATACATAATAACTGTGATGTAATAGCTTTTGATGTTTTATAAAACACTATACATTGAACCACAAGTATAAATACATGTATAACAGAATGGGTTCATCTAAATATGACAAATAAATGAAATTATCATTCAGAATAGGTGACATCTTCATTCATAAACAACAGATTATAACTTCAGACCTTATAAATTACAAACAAATACTGAATATTGGTGGTCAGCTAAAACTGGCTCTCCTTGTGAACACAAATCTATAAATAGGACGGAATGTGAAGGTCACGGATGATTGAACTTTTGGACTGGAATGTTAATCACTGTGCAGCCCCTGAGGTCAGATTGAAGAGAATTGACTTCAGGTTGAGGGCCAGAAAAGCTTGGTCAGTTGGACAGCCTCGCAGAAGTTCCTGGATGATACCAACAATGGTGTACACCTCAAAGTACTTCCTGTTACACCTGAAAGTCGAGAGAGAAATGTGTCCAGTTACCAGTGTCTTTCTAAATATTACATAGCATCAATAGGAAATAGATAAAGGCGCAAACTTTTTCTCTGAAACAGATACTACACTGAATTAAAATTTGAAGTTCACTTGTTAGAGGAAATAAATTTCTTTTCACTTAGTATGTTTAGTTACGTACTATTTCTCATTCATAAGAAGAACAGATCAGTCTACTTTTTGTTTTGTTGAGATAAAGAATGTCTACAGTGGACTAATTTTCCTCATCCTTCTTGGACATTTCTGTAGTTACCTGAGTTTGAAGAGTTTCTGTAGTTACCTGAGTTTGGAGAGTTTCTGTAGTTACCGGAGTTTGGACAGTTTCTGTAGTTACCTGAGTTTGGACAGTTTCTGTAGTTACCTGAGTTTGGAGAGTTTCTGTAATTGGAGAGTTTCTGTAGTTACCTGAGTTTGGAGAGTTTCTGTAATTACCTGAGTTTGGAGAGTTTCTGTAGTTACCTGAGTTTGGAGAGTTTCTGTAGTTACCTGAGTTTGAAGAGTTTCTGTAGTTACCTGAGTTTGAAGAGTTTCTGTAGTTACCTGAGTTTGAAGAGTTTCTGTAGTTACCTGAGTTTGGAGAGTTTCTGTAATTGGAGAGTTTCTGTAGTTACCTGAGTTTGGAGAGTTTCTGTAGTTACCTGAGTTTGGAGAGTTTCTGTAGTTACCTGAGTTTGAAGAGTTTCTGTAGTTACCTGAGTTTAGAGAGTTTCTGTAGTTACCTGAGTTTGGAGATTTTACCTGAGTTTGAAGAGTTTCTGTAGTTACCTGAGTTTGGAGAGTTTCATGTAGTTACCTGAGTTTGGAGAGTTTCTGTAGTTACCTGAGTTTGAAGAGTTTCTGTAGTTACCTGAGTTTAGAGAGTTTCTGTAGTTACCTGAGTTTGGAGAGTTTCTGTAATTACCTGAGTTTGGAGAGTTTCTGTAATTACCTGATTTTTGAGAGTTTCTGTAATTACCTGAGTTTGGAGAGTTTCTGTAGTTACCTGAGTTTGGAGAGTTTCTGTAATTACCTGAGTTTGGAGAGTTTCTGTAGTTACCTGAGTTTGGAGAGTTTCTGTAATTACCTGATTTTTGAGAGTTTCTGTAGGATGATGCTGAGTTTTTCCAATAGTTTGCTGTCCTGACTGGGAGCTCTCAGCACCATGGCTATTGTCCTGAACCAGTTCTCGTTACTACACATCTCAAGGAATGGCTGCTGAAAGGGTGAGTCCGTGGACATTTGTAGAAAGATATCCATCGCTGATCCCATAAAAGTCTGTACAATGAACAACAAATTATTTCACGACTTTTATTCTGTGATGACTTTTACATTTTAAATGAATTTTGAGTCATAGACATTTCAGAATTTGAATACTGGTAAGTTGTCTCCCATGAGCTAGCACAACTTTCATTAAGATATCTGCACATACCACGTTTGATATATGATCTTTTGATTTTACAAGGAACTACTAAGAAGGAATTCATAAAATCATGAAAGGTTTCATTTATGAAGTTTATTTTGAATTCTACTGAGTAGATTCTCTAAACTTGTTTATATCTGGTCTGGTTTCTCTGCAATCAAACATGACATAATCTCAGTAATACTTAGTAAGAGAATATACCTTGTTTACTGGTTTGAGGTACTGAAGAACCACAGGTGTGGCTTGGTAGTATAAGAAAAGTTCTTTGGCAATGTCAGACTTCAGGTCATTTCTTAAAACATCAAACACATGAGCCAGAAGATCAACTACAAAAAAATTTAAATGGCAATAATTAGCATGTATTTTACTGTTTTGTAATACTGCCTCAGGCAATGAAATAACAGTAAAACTGTTAGATGTTACAAATTATGTAGACTGTTCTATTCTGTCAAGAGTTAAGTTTATCAGAAACACATACTTTTGTTAACACAATAATTTTCACAAAATATGTATATATATTTTTTCAAGTTTTGGCTGACCTTGGCTAAGAGTTTTCAGAATGAGGAGAGAAGACAGGAGTCGGACATGGAGATTCTGGCTGCGGAAGTAAATGCCTTCCTTTGACTTGTCCAGTTTGACAGGAGAAGAGGGACTAAATTCTGATGGACTTTTCTCTGACTCAGAAAATCGCACCGTTTTAGCTCTGTACAGCTCCTCTCCTAACCGTCGCAGTGTGGACGATAATCCACTCTTCTGAAACAAAGACATAAAAACTCTTTTACAACTTCTAGAACAATTTATTTGTGTAGTCATTCATACTACACATGCATTTAAAATAGACTGAAATGAAAATGTAAAGTAGCTACATAAAGTTTCAGAACATTATTATTTTCATTTACCTGCTGTCCTGCACAGTTCTCAATGTGCACTAGAGCCCAGTAAATAAACTGAATACAAGGGAGAGATATCTTTAAATTCTGTCCTGGAAACTCCCTTAACATATCTACAGCTGAAGGCAGGATCTGAAATTCAATGAAGATCACATTAGTCCACAAATTACTGCAACTTAAGTACCGGGGTAAATGTGATTTACAGCACTGGTATAGGATTAGATTTCAACCTTCATGATTTTTTCTTGGAGATATTCTGGAGAGAGGAAGCGTTCGAATGGTTTTCCTGGGAGATCTGACACGGCACATCTCAGGTGAGCATCACTGACCCAGTCCAGTAAAACTCCAGTCACATCAAAACAAGCCGCAGTCTACAAAATCAACATGAAATTTGTTTCAAATGCACTGCAAATCATTCTTAACTAAATAAAATTTCATATATTTTATTAAAAATACATATGTATACAGGTATAATGGTTCAAGGAAAATTAGCAAGATTAGACAAAATACAAAGTGTAAAAAATATTTGAGATTAAATTTCATTTCTTTCATTTACAATTTATTGATATTTATGAAATGATTCAATCAGAATCTTGGTTTTTTAGAAATTTATTAGTTAACTATAAATGGCCTATGGTTAATTTTCATTTTTGTTCAGAAATTTCAAATTCAACATGAAATGAAAACAGGGTTAACCCAAATAATGATACAGTATCATTTAAAAATTACAAAGCACAGGTTTTGCAAGTCCAATAAAAGCACATTTAACATAACCATATTTACTATTTGAAAACTATTCAAAATTTTTGTCGAGACTATACATTAGACAGAATCTAAAATACAACAAATTTTTAATGCTGCATTGGTTACAGAAGTGCAGGGGTCATATAGGACTCAGTTCTAGAGTACTCAAAAATCTGGAAAAGACAAACCATACTGTATCAGTATAAAAAAACAGGTTCCCCCCCCCCCCCAAAAAAAATTAATTCAACTTTTTGCATTTAAGGGTACTTATGCTCTATCCAAAGAAAGTGTTTTCTTTTAAATATCTGACCTTTTGAACTTTCTGTTTTGTTTTGTCTTCAGCGTCTTTCGGTTTTTGTTTGGGGACAGCATTCCCGACAGACATGGCTGCCACTTCCATCTCCTTCTGTCTCTGATCAAACTCCTGCTTCCTCTGTCAACATTATAAACAGTAGTCAGTACATTAAGTTAGTCAGTGGACATACTGTATGTTTACTTAAAATAGCAGGATTCATATTTTAGCAGCTTTGGCTCAAACAATGATGTGCTAATTCAGGAATACTGTTAAGGAATAATTTATAAGTAAAATATACAGCACAAACATGTGTAGCGCTAATTTATGATTTGGCCAACAACTCCATCTCCATTGATTGCGCTAAATTTTGAATACGCCAAATTACCCGGTATGTACATGTACAGTAATTATGTAGACTGAAAATTTTCCTTTATTCTTTTAAATGATTCTGTACATCTGTGCACAACAAACCTGCAAGTTAGTCAGTCTGGCTTGAACAGTGACTGCCTGCTTTTCCAACTTTTCATGCTGGCTTTGTAGGGTCTCAAACTAGAAAAATTATAAATAAACACATCTCAGGAATCATATAATTACTTTGACGATTTTTAGACTCTTAATACACATCATTGGATGTAAATAATCATCAATTCAGTACAATACTTTTACCTCTTTTTTAAGTGCATCATTTGCTTGCTTCAGTGTTTCAAAGTTATCCTTCAATCTTTTGTTTTCTTTACTCTTCTCCCTTAGTAAAGTTTCTAATCTAAATATCTCTGCCTTGTGTTTCTACAACAGAAATTTTACTACATATGTTACTAAATTTGCTAAAAATAATAATAATAATAATATTTATTCAGGTATAGGCATCGAGCAATGAACAATAACATTGAGGTATGAGTATGAAACACAATTTAAAAATATATGAATAAATATGCATAATTTAAGAGATAAGTTATAAAACAAATTGACTAATAAATCTTATTTTTATATATTAATTCAAATAAATATATTATATTAAATATGCCTAAACCCAAGGATAGCCCATGAAAGCCATTATGGCTTATTTCCAATGGGGTCCTTTTACATGTAACAAAATTACTGGCATATGACATATATAATATACTTAATGTAAACAATAAATTGTATACTAGCTATAAATGAGATGGCTTAAAAATTTAATCTTATTATGCAAAAGCATCTAAAACACAAGTTCTTAATTGTATAAGAAAAAAGAACAATTGAGTAAAAAAATCTAATAGTATAAAAAATCCTCTTTGGCATTTTTCTTAAGTTTCTCCATAAAATGTTTCTTGACCTCTTTTTTGAATTTTGATTTACTCATTATTGTTTTAATCTGGTCAGGTAGAGAATTCCAATCTTTGATTCCATTATAAAAAAAATGTTTGACTCTCCATTTTTTGAACCCTTGGCACAAAAAAATTTAATTGACTTGACCTTGTACATTTTTTAGACACATTTCGCTTAAAATTGCTATACATATAATTTGGACCTTTATTATGAAAAATATTGTAGACATGGTTGAGGCGTAACTGACACACTCTACTACTAAACTACAAAAAACCTAATTTTTCAAATTCAGTAACACTTACTCTTGATCTAGGTGACACATCAAGAATAAATCTAATAATCTTGTTCTGTATAACCTGTAGTCTATTTTTTAATTTTTCAGATAGTCCTTCATACTAACAAGTAATAGCATAATCAATGTGGCATTGAATTAAAGCAGTACACAATGATTTTCTTGATTGCATTGATAAACATGATTTTTGTCTATATAGAAATTTAAGTCGTTGGTTTGTTTTGCTAATAATAGTTTCTACAATTTTCTCACCAGATAGAAAATTGTCTAAAAAAACTCCTAGGTATTTAACACAAACTCCGCCATGGCCGGTCCCAAGCCCGGATGAGAAAGGAGGAGGGTTGGGCGTGGGGCCAGCAACCCCACCCCGTAAAAACTTTACCGCTACAGAAACGACAACAAGGGAATATAATTCAACTGGCCAATGGAGCGAAGCAGACCAAGCAACTGGACTTATGAAGGCTGGGGATCAAATCCGAGAGGACGTCTCTAGCCAGACTGTGGAGCTCCTGACGCCCAAACGATGCATGAGAGTTGGTTTTTGGAACGTGAGGACTCTGTTTCAAGCAGGAAGATTAGCACAAGCAGTACATGAGATGAACAGCTATGACCTCTGCATGCTGGGAGTTTCAGAAGCAAGATGGACAGGGACAGGAAAGCAGCGAATGAGCTCAGGCGAAACCATCATCTGGTCAGGCAGACAGGATGGAAACCACCAGGAAGGTGTTGCCCTCATCATCAGTAAGAAGCACACCAACAGCCTGTTACAATGGAAGCCAATTAATGAACGACTGCTCTATGTAAGAATGGACTCCAAGTACACCAAGCTGTCAGTCATCGTTGCATATGCACCAACGGAAGTAGCAGACGAGGAAGACAAGGAGGAGTTCTACAGTGCTTTACAGACTGCAGTGGAGGACATCCCAAGACATGATGTTCTTCTGTTGTTGGGAGACTTCAATGCGCAGGTTGGCAGTAACAACGAGAACAGGGAGAGAATCATGGGACAACATGGTACAGGACAGTTAAATGACAACGGTGAGAGACTAATTGGGTTTTGTGAAGAGAACACCCTCGTCTTAGGCGGTACTCTTTTTGCACACAAGACCATCCACAAGCTCACTTGGACATCACCAGACGGGAGAACGCAGAACCAGATCGACCACATTGTGATAAACAGCAAGTGGAAGCGCTCCCTTCAGGATGTAAGAGTTATGCGAAATGCAGATGTTGGTAGTGACCACAACCTACTCGTGGCAAAGCTGACACTTAAGCTGAGGAAGACCAAGATTGGCAGCAGCAGGAACCGGCGTTTTGATGTTGGCATGCTGACAGACCCAGCGCTTAAGCAGCAGTACAACTTGGCACTAAAGAATCGTTTCAGTATCCTCAAAGACAAAACAGCACTCACCATCGATAGTTTCAACAACGCAGTAACAGAAGCTGCAAAAGAGACCATTGGATACAGAAAGAGCAAAAAGAAAGAATGGATGTCCACAGACACATGGAAAGCCATTGAGGAGAGAAAACAGTTGAAGAAGAGAGTCCTGGACACCAAGTCCCCAAGATTGAAAGAGAGAGCAGAAATGCAGTACAGAGAGAAAGACAGACAAGTCAAGATCTCGGCAAGAAGAGACAAGCGGCAGTACACAGAAAAACTATGAAGCGGAAGCAGCCGCTGAAAGGAAGGACATGAAGACTGTCTACATGATTACTAAGAAACTAAGAGGAGACAGACGACAGAATCAGGACCTCCCACTGAAGGCAAGCGATGGCACACTAATCACTGAAGAGCAAGCCAAGCTAGCGAGATGGAGGGATCATTTCCAGCAGACCCTGAATCAGCCTGACCCACCAGCTCTTGCAGAAATCAGCGAGGCAGAAGAGGACCTGGACATCAATCTGGGACCCATCTCACTACAGGAGGTGAAGGACGCCATCTGCAAGTTGAAGAATGGCAAGGCACCAGGAGAGGATGGAGTCTGCGCTGAGATGTTGAAGGCAGAGGATCAGGACACCCCACGACTTCTTCAAAGTATTCTCCAAGACATCTGGGACAACGAGGAAATTCCAGACAACTGGAGAAAAGGAGTCATTGTAAAACTCCCAAAGAAAGGGGACCTGTCAGACTGCAACAATTGGAGAGGAATCACTTTGCTGTCCCTCATGAGCAAGATCTTTAGCCGCATCATCCTCCAGCGCACCACCACAGCAGTGGACACCATCCTACGACAGGAGCAGGCTGGATTTAGAAAAGGACGATCTTGCATTGACCACATCTTCGTTCTCCGCCAGATACTTGAGCAGTCGCACAAGTGGAACAGCCCACTTTACCTGGTGTTTGTTGACTTTGAGAAGGCCTTTGATAGCCTTCACAGAGCATCCCTCTGGAGGATCCTACGACACTATGGCATCCCGCAGAAACTGGTGAACATCATCCAGTCCCTCTACGAAAACATCGAGTGCCAAGTAATACATGACAACAAACTGACAGAACCCTTCGGAGTGGATACTGGCGTGAAGCAAGGCTGCATACTGTCTCCAATGCTCTTCTCCCTTGCAGTGGATTGGCTCATGCGCAACGTCACCGAAGGAAGACGGCAGGGCATTCAGTGGACTCTGACCACAGTCCTAGAGGACCTGGACTATGCTGATGACCTGGGGCTTCTATTTAGTAGACATCAGGACATACAGCAAAAGACGGAGACCCTCAGCGAAATAGCCAACACCATAGGACTCAGAGTTAACACCAAGAAAACGCAGGTCATGAGGAAAAATGCCAGAAACACAGACCCAATCACAGTCAACGGGAGGCAGCTGGAGAACGTAGAGGAATTCACCTACTTGGGCAGCAAAATGACAACAGACGGTGATTGCGAGCAAGAGATTAAGACCAGACTCAGCAAAGCCAACCAAGCTTTTGCCATGCTCAAACCCGTTTGGAAATCTACAAGCCTCAGCATCCAGACAAAAATCAGATTATTCCGGAGCAATGTCCTCAGTGTGCTGCTATATGGATCTGAGTGCTGGAAGACCACTGTCACCATTGAGAAGAAACTTGAAGTGTTCCAGACCAAGTGCCTACGTCGCATCATGAAGATCTTCTGGCCCAACACTATTTCCAATGAAAATCTCCGAAACATGGCAAATATGGAGACTCTGGCAGAGATGATCCAAAGGCGACGCTGGAGATGGTTGGGACATGCCTGCCGCATGCCTACCAGCTCCATTACCAGGACAGCTCTTGGCTGGACACCACAGGGGAAGAGGAACAGAGGGCGCCCAAAGGAGACTTGGCGGCGCACCATTGAGAGAGACCTGAGGAACAGAGGACTCACCCTGCAGACAGCCCCCAGAGCAGCAGCCGACAGAGCCAATTGGAGAGCCCTTGCTGTCGCCTCAAGTGCCAGACGGCGCAGAGAGGACTGAGTGAGTGAGTGAGTAATTTAACACAATTTTTACACTCAATTTTGATTCCATCACATACAACTGAAAAAGTTTTCATATCATAAGACTTCAATTTTCTAGGGGGTCCAAATAAAATACTCTCTGTCTTTCCTAAATGTAGAGAAAGTTTATTATCAACTAACCAGTTTACATTTACAACTTGTTTTCTGTTGGACAAATAAGATTTAAACCATCCAACCGATTTTACACCAATAATCTGGTAAATTGTTAAACAATGTTTATTTGTGTATATGGACCAATTTGCTCTCTTAACAGAGCCATTATGTTCTAAATATTATTTTTGATTATATGTTGTGCTTTGGTCAGTATGTTTCAACTTTTTGCATAGTCCTTCATTAATTACCTCCTCCACGGCTTGTAGTTTATGTTTGATTTCATGTTGTGCAATGGTCTGTATATTTTGAGAAGAAATAGATACCATCCGCTCCCTCTCCTTTAACTTTTGCTCTCGCTCATGAAGGTTTCTGTTCTCTGCCTTTTTAAATCAAATAATAAATATTATCAAATATCCCCTTGTACATTAAATACTCTTATGACAAAAGGCAAATTTAATAATGAAAAAATGTCATATTTAAAATAATCTTCCTCTACAAGTGTAACAATGTATATACAACTATATCAATTGAAAAAGAAACTTAAAAAAAAAATACCTTTAGCTTTTCACTAATGACTTGTAGCTCTTTGTAAATATCTCTGACATTCTCATTGCTGATGTTTTGATATCCTTCAACAGAAAAAAGACAATATCAAACAGAACTCAAATAGAACTCAGTGTGTGCAGTCAAGATATCATTTCAAGATAATTTATGAATATAACTTCATAAGCAACCTCTCATTCCATTATATTCAATCAGATCATAGGCACCAAATCTGTTTCAAATTTATTTCTTAATATCATGTAATTGTCAAGGTGGTATATTGGTATATAATAAAATGCAATTTTTAAAATAATAAAATTTTTAAAAACGTGTACTGGGTTAAAGAAAAAAACATTGCAAAAAATATATTTATTATTTAAACAAGAGATGTTTGTAAAACACTTATTCCCTCCTCCTCCACAAATTGGAATTTTTCTAAGCCTAAAAGGGCATACTTCTGTCAAAAATGGTGCGATCATACCCAAAACAGAACGTGACATAGATATTTATCAGATATACTGTATACCAAATTTCATTTCAGTATGTGCAACGGTTGCGAAGTAACAACTGTATACATAGTAATTGGAATTTTTCAAGTTGCATAACTCGGTCAAAAATGGTGCAATCATACCCAAAACAGAACTTGACCTAGATATTCAACTGATAAATCTGTTTATTATATACCTAATGTGTATCACTCAATTTTACTGTTGATTTTATGCAATCACTTGACATTCTCCGACTTTGATCACCACACTGATGGTTTTTGAATCCATATCACCACTCTCTGAAACTGATGACGTAGTACGCAGAAATATGACGTTATTTTTCTTGCGCATTAAAAAGTCCCTTAATATTATGCTTTGTTTTATGGATTAATATTATACAAGTGATCTCTAAAGGTTTATTTTAATATATTAAGCCAGTTATAAGAGGGTATATAATAAATTTATCATTATATATAACTTGGAAGAGCCTCTCATTCCATTATATTCAATCAGATCATATGCACCAAATCTGTTTCAAATCTATTTCTTAATATCATGTAATTGTGAAGGTGGTATATTGGTATATAATAAAATGTTATTTTTAATAATATATATATATACTAAATTTTGCAACGGTTGCGAATTGCAAATAATTGGAATTTTTCTAAGTCCATGGGGCATAACTCTGTCAAAAATGGTGCGATCGTAACCAAAATAAAACTTGACCTAGATGCTCTTCTGATACATATGTATACCAAATTTCATTTCAGTATGTGCAAAAGAAAAAACATTGCAAAAAATATATTTATTATTTAAAAAATGATTTGTGAGATGACTTTTGCTGTGCCTAATTAGCTGTGTTACCTTCCTCTTCTGATTCGTACTGTTCCTTGGTTTTATGATGACGCTGCTTTCTCCTGCGATGTTTACCACTGACTTCATGGAGGTAGAAGTCAGAGAGACTATCTGATTCTATAATATGACCCTGACTGTTATCGGTGGCTGCATTGATAGGTGTGATTGTTGAGTCTGCAAAACAGTCATTAATCATGGTTATGTGAACAAAATGAGAGTTTACTATAAAGTAATATACATTTATTGACCTGAGTTCTCGAACTGGGGCGTTGCCTGAAAACTCAGTCAGTAAATGTTTTGTTATATTTAAATTTAAATTTTTTTTTTTACATATACATGTATTTTGTACTATCTCCTGTGATGTAACCTTAGGTCCGTTACTTTTGAACACCAATGAATGAAAATAAAATTAAGTTCTGCCCATTCTGTGACATAAGGGGTCCAACATCTCATTGACTGGTCCAAAATCTCACTCAGCGGCTAAACATCGATTTTTTTTATGCCCGCTCAGCAAAACAGAAATGTTAGACTTTTTTCATATGAAATTGTATAAGAACAAATTTTTAAAGGTATCACAAGAGCCTGTAGTTGTAATACACAATAAAGTTGTGTAAAAGAAATGATTAAAATAATTAAATACACACATAAATTTCATTCATTCCCAAACCAGAAATACAATAATTTTGTAAAATTACCCAAATCACTTTCTCCTGACAACTCTTCTTTACGTGGTCTTGATCTTGCCTTACTCATCTGAAAATAACCAGGTGATAATAATGAATTGTGAACGTTATATTATCAACTGTACAAGTCTGAACAAGAATCTTTTTCATCAAATGAACTTAATTTCACTCCCTCGCTTAACTCAAACAAAAGCACATGTGATCAATTTAAATTATGAAAATTTACCACTTATTATTCAAAAATGTTCTCCATCAAACTCTAAGATTAATTTTAAAGGCGTAAAAATATATTTTCACATTCTGTTTGTTTTGATCGCCATTTTCAAATTTCGTGCCATAGAAAACAGCTTCATCGTCAACACATTCGTGTATTCATATTTTAAAAGAAAAAAAATAATATTTCATAAAAATCAAGAATAGGAGTGAAACTTTCATATACATATTTTAAATTGAATACTCCAATAGACAAATGAATAAAATTTTCTTTCTCTCCTCTTTATGTTAAATACCGTACAAGTTAACAACTGTCAAGGTGGAAATCGAAAGTAAAAGAAGGTTGTGGAACAGAAACGAAAATGTTTTCTTTGTCAAGTTTTGTGGTGTATTTAGCTGGAAAAAGTCGTTTAATGCCTCATGGTATGTATAAAAACAAATTCAACTTAAAAAAGAATTATCTTTTTAGCATGATATTCATTGTCACTCTCACAAAACAAATTGTAGTACAAGCAAAAAAAACGATCTGCAGTTTTCATGCATTATTACGCAACAGAAAAATCACCCGGGATTATTTAGCAATTCAAACAGTGTGTTGTTAACTTATATGACAATAACTTTCAAATGAATATCTTGATAAAATGCCTGACTGTGAAACAGTCAAGAAGAGTAGTTTAATTTTTAGCCCACTGGATAAAAAAGCACAGATATAGATTTCTAATATGTTTTACGGTGTGACCGTTGGGGCGAGCGCAGTTGTACCATCAAAAACACTTGAGATCAGCCACTTCGAACGCCAAGCCGCACGAGACGTCTCGACTAGCTGTGACGTCATACGACGTCACAAAGCTCGTCGGAGCTTACGGAGACAGCCGAGCGTCTGTTTGAAACTATAGAACTAGTGCAATTTTTGTCGAAAAACATTGCAGAGTTATTTCTTGTTTCTTTGAAAGATTTCTACAAACTGAAAGTCTGATATATGCTTTACGTTATTATTTATTTATTCGGCAATATTCGCGCAAAGGACATTGGGTAGTGCAGGAATTCTGGGAATGTTGCACAGAGAAATTTGGCTGACGTATGTACAGATTTCAATCCGAATTTCCTCTGTTCTTACACGTTAGTCTATTGAGCTCGCTTCGCGAGCGTCACTTCGCGACGCTCGCTGCGCTCGCTATTACTAAAGTAGGGAACTCTTCACAGAATTGCTACCCAAAATGTAGTTCTATTCATGATCAGCAGATACGACATTACAAAAAACGTTTAGAATATCGATGTGTATACACGTTATACAGTGGAGTCACCAATTCCGGGTCGTCTCTAATTACGGGTCACACGCGTGTATTTTATGCCTAATGTTAAAATTTAAGCGCAAAAAACTTAATGAATACGCTGGTCACGAAGAACTGGTCTTTCTGTATGTAATTAATTACAAAATTTTAAATATAAGAGAGCATCCGACAATCGAAATTCTGAAACACATGCATTAAAGACTTGGATGTTTCTGCTGTGGTGACGGGGTACTTTCGTTTTTGTTCGCTGCAGAAGGGCTGATATAAAAGTCCTAGATAAATAATAATAGCTCGAAAGTATGGCAAATGCATTTAGTTTTAACTCAGAAATCAATCATAATGATCGCTGCTCAAATGAAATTATTATGATTATTAAATCAAACTGTAGTAGTTTCTCCAATTGCGGGTCACGCAATCTCATGGCACTATGTACAAAACCAATCGACAACCATGTAGTTACCTTGATTATCAAAAGTACATGTATTCTAACTAGAAAATATTTTTTTCTAAAATTAAAATCGAGTTAACCCTTCAAATGCATTTTTTAATAAACGAATTTAATTGTATTATTTTTAATCCTAATACATTTTTTAATTCTGCTTACTGCAATTTGTTTTGTTGTAATTGTTTTAAAAATAATTTAAACATATTTCTGTGATTGTTTTACTTTTTTCCAAGCTGCATGAATTGTTTTATTTTTCAACATCATCAAAATCGTGTTCCGAAACGTTCCATGAATATAACACGACCGTGAAGTCACATGACCCGGAAATGGAGAAAATAATTCGTAACTGGGGAATCTAGGCCTTGCTGAAATGCACATGAAAATATTGTTCCCGTGTAGCTACATTGAAAACGAAAAAGTGTTTGGATGACTCACTATTTGTTCTTTCAATACATATATTGCATAAAATATAAATTGAAGAGATTTGCAAAATATCAGTGAAACACTCTGACGTGAATTATAAAATGGCATTATTATAAGAAAGTCTTTTTATCCCAGAAGTGTAAATATGAAGCTAGCTGCCTTATAAGCCTCTTTTCCTTATAAAATTATAGATCAGATCATTCTTTGATTAACAGTCTTCCCCTCAAAAACCACTGGGCAGAAAAGCTGAAACTTATGTGGAAGCTTTTGAGGTAGTGTAGGTCTAAACTAAATTGTACAAATCGTGACCCCGTTTTATTTATACCATTGTTGTAAAGAGTATGATTTTAAAATGTATTGGGTTTTTTCTTTTTGCAGGTAACAGGGCTCTGTTTGTTCCTCATAATCGATCCCATACTATTCCTATTCAGTTGCTGGGAATGGTGAGGGCATTTGTACCACCTCTGACCTATGACTTTCACAAAGGAATGATGGGAAGAATAGGAGTTATTGGGGGTTGTAGAGAGTGAGTTAATTTTGATGTTCTTTATTTTAAACCTAATTTCTAGACATAGCTATCATGATATATTTTTTTTACTATCAGTATCAACATCATTAAATTAGTATGAAGAAATTCTAAATATTTTAAAGTATAACAACAAAAATTATGTTATGATATATGCATTTTACATTAAAACACAATACAACTTTGACTGTTCATTTGTAGGTACACTGGAGCCCCATACTATGCTGCTGTATCAGCCTTAAAATTAGTAAGTACAAACCCTCTAGCATATTTTATCTGTGCAAACAGTTTGAAATAATTGCTAAAATGTTCATTTAATCATATAAGTATACAATTAAGGTATCAAAGACTTGATAAAATCTCAATTTGAACTTAAATCTGAAGATAAGTAAATTTGTCTTTGAGTTCTTGACTACAGGTCATATGAAAAAAATAAATTTATTGATAATATCTTTTGATATGACTTTCTACATTTTGTTCTTTCTATTGCAGGGATGTGATTTGTCATATGTATTCTGTACAGAGGGAGCTGCCACAGCCATCAAGTCCTACAGTCCTGAACTCATAGTTCTACCTTACCTGTATGTAGAATGTACAAGTCCTACAGTCCTGAACTCATTGTTCTCCCTTACCTGTATGTAGAATGTACAAGTCCTACAGTCCTGAACTCATTGTTCACTCTAACCTGTATAGAATGTACAAGTCCTATAGCACTGAACTCATAGTTCTATCTTACTTGTATGTAGAATGTACAAGTCCTATAGTCCTGAACTCATTGTTGTACAGTACCTGTATGTAGAATGTACAAGTCCTATAGCACTGAATTCATAGTTCTATCTTACTTGCATGTAGAATGTACAAGTCCTATAGTCCTGAACTCATAGTTCTCCCTTACTTGTATGTAGAATGTACAAGTCCTATAGTCCTGAACTCATTGTTCTCCCTTACTTGTTGTGATAAATGTGAAATGTTAATTGCGTTGTCATGTTTACAATGTGCGATATTTCTTGTCTCATACTTTGTTGTGACATGTCGAGGAAATTCGAACTGGTATTGATGCATGATTACTGTATAAATGCATATTATGTTTATTAATTTCGATGTTAATCATATTCATTTTTACATACTTAATTACCTCTTTTCATATGATTACGTCTATTATTGTGGAAAACCACAACTTGTATCCAAAACTGTGAAGAAAGATGTTTTGACTTTACCGGGAAATCACATGTTTTTATACTGCAATCCCGATCCCGATCGAACATGATTTGTATAAAGAATTTCGTATTTATCCTGTACTTTGACTCGAGTACTGTTTTCTTGTAGTAATGTTATGTATTTAAAATAAATATTATTATTTTTATTACCGTTTTAATGATACAAGTTGTGTATTGTAAATATGTAGGTATTGCTATGACCTAGTTACCTAGATACGTTTGTATAACATACGGGTTCTTGTGCTATATAGAGGTACGGCAGCCGTTAAGGGTGACAATCTATTATTGTTGAAAGGTATTTTTTATTAGTTTTTAAGTACTTAAATGATATTGTAATATTATAGAAAGGATTTTTAACGAATGTTATAGTGAAAAGGGATTTTTATTACATTGTTCAATATTTTTTAAAGGAAAATATCTAAATTTAAACCTGAAAATATTATATTTCATATTTTATGTTCTAAATAAATAGTTCATATTAATTGATATAATATTTGTGTCTTTTCTAACGTTTTTGAATTTAAATACACATAACAAATTCAGCAAACGCAATAATTGGTGGCAGCGGTTAAAAATTGAAAATTTAAATAATTTTTTGTATTTATTTTATTGTTTTTTGAAAAAAAAAAAAAAAAGTATTGTTTGAAAAAATTCACTTAGGAAAATGATGTTAAGAAATAGAAAATTAGGTTCTCCTAGTTTTAAAGTGGGGGAAAATAGGGATGTAGAGTTTGTGAATCAAGGTGTTCAATCATCTTCTGTGGTGGAAAATGTGTGTTCCCCAGTGCACAGCCCAAGGAGGATTCCAAGCATGATGGGCATTGACAATGAAGAATGCAGGAATGAAAATCAAGGTGAGGTAGAGAGTCTGAGACGCAAAGTAGGAGAATTGGAGGAAGCATTGAAGATAGCCAGCAGTAAACAGTCAAGTCAGAATGGTTTGTATCCCAATCTAGGTCGTTACACTCATCCTCCAGGCTATAGTGGATATTCTCAAGGACACAGTGGTTATGCCCAAAATGCTACATATCCATCAAGTGTAATCCAGCCAAACCAGGGAAATTATCAAATGCGATGGACCCCTCAAACCACAAATAATCGTCCAGGTTGGAGTACTTATCCTCAGCCTAGCTGGCCTATTCCCAATGAAAGTGGAAGTACAAACTCCAACATGAGTGGATGCGAGGAACCAAAACCAAGACTCCCAATATT